GAAGGAAGGCAGCTAGGAATGCTTCCGCAGTCTGACTCGGGCGCTGTGCCCAGCGCTCATTCCAGAGTCTCATCACTGAACAGCTGGCCCGAGAGCCCCCTTTTACCAGCGAGTGGACTGAAGACCCGCCGCTTACAAGCCCTGTGAATCAGCCAGGCCCCAAAAGCACCAGGCTCCCTGCCCCATCAGTGGGGCCTAGGGCAGAGTCACAAAGAATGAGGGGGAACCCCCAGCCAGACCCAGGCATCAGAAGCTGAGAAGACAGCTGCCATTACTCACCAGAGGGTTGATGCTCTTGTCAGACAGGTCGTAATCAGTGGAGGCATTGTTCTTGATCAGCTTGCCGTCCTTGATGAGGTAGCCCTGGCCAATCTTGTAGATCTGAACCAAAGAAAGGACTGTAAATACTCAGGAAGGAGGAAGCAGGACAGGGCGCAGGCCAGGAGCCTCAGGTGTCCCCAGACAGAGTGAGCTGGAGGGACATCATTAGGAAAAGTTAACGCCCCCTCTTGGCAGTGGGCTAGCCTGCAAGACTCTGGGAAGACAGCTACGACTGGGACCTCAGTCCTAGTGATAGGGCGATTCAGTCTCAGAGCAAAGGAAAGCTGGCTGGGCCTAAACTAAAGATACTGCTACCCACGTGAGACGAAACCTCATGTCACCCCCAGTCACACGCCAAGAGTCCACTGCACCAGAACCACCCTCGAGGATGGCACCTTACAAATCATAACCCACAGACCAGAACTGTGCCCATCAGACATGAGCAACTAAGTCCGTGTGACGCCCAAAAGCTCCGCCACCAGCTGGAGCGGCGGGGACAGGGACTGTCTGTCTCCTCCCAGGCTGAAGCCCCCAGACACAGCCCTGGGCAGCTCACCTTCTTGTTGATCTCCGTGCGGTGATGGTAGCCCTTCTGCCCGGCCCGCGCCACGGAGAAGGCCACTCGGGCGGGATGCCAGGCCCCAATGCAGGCAACCTTGCGCAGCCCTCGGTGGGTCTTGCGGGGCAGCTTCTTGGTGTGCCAGCGGCTGGTGACCCCTGGAACAACACGCTGTTACTGGGTGTCTGGCACTCACGCCACAGGCTGCTTCCTGCTGTGAAGGCCCGACTCAAGTGTGTTCATTTCTGCTGCTTATACACAGAACAGCCAACACCCAACGACCAGCTACGTTTGAGGGAAAGGTGGGTTGAATCTGCACGTCACTCTCAAACCCCCATGTCCTTCCCCACCCCTCTTATACTTCCACTCAAGTTGAATACCTGCCCAGACACAAACCTCGAGTTAGAACCCTGGGAACAAGAATGGGCCACAGACTTAGCCCTGAACCAAAGAGGAACGTGTGCACTTTAAGGCCTTCACGCAGCTCGCACCGGCAGGGGCCGGCCAAATCTCCAGGTTCCCCTTGACATTTATTTTACAATGGGCTGCGTGCAAGCAGTAAGGGTTCCAATGTGTGGCATCCCCAGTCCCCACCTTACGCCAGGCACTGGACCCCAGAACTGCTCTCAGAAGGAAGGCAGCTAGGAATGCTTCCGCAGTCTGACTCGGGCGCTGTGCCCAGCGCTCATTCCAGAGCCTCCTCATCGAACAGCCAGCCTGAGACCTTCTTCTCTCCCAGAGGTTAGCCACAGCGACCCGGGCCACCGCAAAGCTCACCTTTGTATCCTTTGCCCTTGGTCACGCCAATGACATCAATCATCTCGTCCTGCCCAAACACCTGGTTCACAGGGACCTGCTGCTCCAGCCTCTCGCGGGCCCAGTCCAGTTTCTCGGCCACCGTGCCTCCGTTCACCTGGATCTCCATGAGATGCGCCTTCTTCTGGCGCAGAGGGAGCAGGCGCATCTGGGGGGGATGGGGGCAGCTTAGCTCCAGCTCTCCTCCCACGGTGGAGGACGCACACTGGGGCCTGTCAGGGAAATGCATTTCCCTACCGGCAAAATCAACGTCCTTCCTCTAGGTACAATTCATCTTCCAATTCTGATGTCTGAATCACCATTGGGATGAGCTGATCCTTAACAGACCCACAGGGCCCACATCAAGACAAGCCAGCTTAACTAAATCCTGCCCAACTTGCCCAGTGCTCATCACTGTCCTCTCGGCCACTTCCCCTGGGCACTGCCCTAGCCGCCCCCCCGTCGGCCATCGACCTTGCTCTGTAACTATCTACAAGCCACTTACATTTGGGAGCAGGGCAGCACCACAGCCGAGCAAAGCGGCAAAGGTTAGAAAAGAAAATTAATCTAACAAAGTGTCTCGCTACGCGTGGCCCAGTGCTTCCTACTGACTGTTGTCAGGCACTTGACGTTAATCACGAGCCACCAGTTTTTCTAAAACAGGGCACAGTTTTCCTAATTAAGAGCCAACGGGACACAGTGCCCTCTGCTGGCAACAGAAAAACCAACCCGCCAACGTGGAGGCACTGGATGGATTCTCAAGCCACTGTCCCCACTGTCCCTAACCTGGCCCAGGAAGGCAGGCCTAAAGGGCAGGGCAGTGGCTGGACCGTGTGGCTGTGTAACTTCTAACCACCCCCGGGCTGTTCGCTGGCCCACCTCCTCCAACTAGGAAATAAGTTCCAGGAACCTGACCCCGTCTTCCCATTCCCTACAATCCTGAGGCTTGACACAAAATCAGTTTGAACTCAGAATCAACTCAGAAGATAAGCGAGACACCCCCAAAAGGTAGCACTTGATAGCCAAAGCCACACGTGACCATGTAGGCAGTCACCTGTGTTGACGGGAAGGCACGGGCGGGCGCTCACCTGGGTGTGGGCGATGACACGGATGACCTGGCAGTACTTCTTCATGCTGCTGAAATCCTTCTCCAGCTGCTTCCTGCCGTCCTCATCCTGCCACTTCTTGCAGTATTTGGTGAAGGCCTTCTTCTTAGACTTATGCCTTCAGGAGCAGAGCAGAGTTGGGGAGGGGCCGGGTGCAGGCCTTCATCACCCCTCCAAGGGGCGAGCGGAAGGCACGCTGGCACCAAATGGGGATGGGGCTCATTGCCGGCTTCTAAGGAGCCTTTTCCACCGGCAAGCGGAGCCTAGATGAAGCTCATCGGGCAGAGCCGAGCGGAGCTAGCAGAGGTCCACAAGATTAATGCAAGTCACCAACATTCAGATACACACTAATTCTCGCTCCAGTTTAACCATTAACCAGACCACACACCTGGGGAGGACTGGGAATTACACTGCTCTCAGCTTCTGAGGACTCGACACTTCCCAGCAGCCAAGAGAATGGAGCACTGAGTCCTCAGACAACACCCACTACACTGCACACCGAGGGAAGGCCTCAAGGTGCTGCTCCCAACTCCATACACCAGTGGCTGCTCAAGAGGCACCTAAGTCTGCCAGTAGCACAGCCCCTCCCTGCTACAGTGAGGAAGCCCTGCACAGCCCGTCCTTCTCTCCAGCCCCTAACCCTGCAGGGCATGCACGCCTCCCACACCCTTACCAGTTCTTGTAGAAGCGCCTTTTGCACTCATCACTGATGTGCTCAGCAAAGATGGTCTTGAAGGTACGGAGGCCCCGAGGGGTTTCCACGTAGCCCACAATGCCCACAACCACCATGGGCGGCGTCTCCACAATGGTCACAGCCTCCACAACTTCCTTCTTGTTCACCTCTGCAAAGCAAGCAGGGACTCAGACCTCAGCGGGCTGACTAGAGACCCCAATAAGGGGTTACGACGTTTTGTACAAAAAGGTGAAGTGCCCTTTGAGGCCAGCAAGGCAACGCGCTTCAGGTAACAGGTAAGTCTGCAGAAGCCCATTTATCAGCAAGCTGGCCCCAAGGACCGTCCTTACTGCATCGTTCTCAGTGTGCACGCACTTACAGCTCTAACGCAATCAAAAATATCTGGACCCTCATCAGCCAAGTAAGTCTGGCTTCAGTTCTATCAGAGAAATCTCCACATGCAAACAAATTTCTTATTACCCAGACGATCTGAGTACTAACGAAGTACAGTGCGGTGATAACAGTACCTCCCGTGATCGACTGTGCTTCAATACCTCGAGTTTTTAGGTGAGGCTGGCAGCTCAGTGCTGCCAGCAACATGTCAATAGTTTCTATCTGAGTCTCAGAGGGTGAGCCCAAGTCAGCATACTTCTCTGCTGTGGCTCTCGACAAACTTACATCGTGCTCTGACTTCATCACAGGCCTCTGCCCAAGGCAAGCAGTGCCAGGCATCTGAACCTCAGGAATATTAGTTAGTCCTAAAATATATTATTATTTCCACCCCCGTCAAAGCTTCTGTTCATCTCTTAGGAGTCTGTCCTCTTCTGACAGCTTTGCCCCACCTAGCCAGTCCCACCCTCCACTCCGACCCCGCGCCTCCAGGTTGGAGAATGCAGCTCCTACGTACTGGATCCGGGCCTATCGACCTCACGCACGATGTGGGTCATGCCGGCCTTGTAGCCAAGGAAGGCCGTGAGGTGCACCGGCTTCGAAGCGTCATCCTTGGGGAAACTCTTCACCTTGCCGCGGTGCCGGCTGCTGCGTTTCCGAGGCAAGAAGCCCAGGGACCCGTGCCTGGGGGCGGAGAACTTCCTGTGAGACTAGGAGAAAAGGGCCACCGTCAGCACCCAAACGTTTCAGCAGCTCTCACTTGAATCCCAGCTGCCTGGGTACTAAACGGACTCCGGTGATGCTGAACCGAGACCCAGCAACCCAGGTCACAGGCTTTCAGCCTGGATTCGGTGCACTTTTTGCAGGATCACACGCCCAGAAAGCAGCACCCAACTGAGTTTCACCTGAACCTTGAGCTCAAATCTGCACTTCATAATTTAGGAAAACGAGCCATCGGTTTTTTCCTCTAAACACGAGGGCACACCAGGTGCTGGCACCAAAATTTGCTCAGCAGGTGCCTTTAGGAAAGCAAGATAGGGACAATGACCACAAAAGCGCCTCTGGACCACGGCTGGGTAACGATGAAGGTACTATAGGCGCCTCCCGCTCCGAGCGGAGCTCAGATGAGGCGCGCAGGCCCCCGGAGCGCGACAGCCACATCAGAACGTGACAATCAGCACAGAGTCTCTGTCCGCCCGTCAATAAGCTCATCACCTGCGGCTGCGGAACTCTACAGGCCCGAGGAGCTGCACCAACCGTCTCTGTCTTTTCTTAACGAGGCCCGACCAACCGGCCCGAGGCCCCCACCCGCCTGCTGCTCTGACATCCGCACCTCCCGGTTCGGCAACAGCACCGCCAGGGCCCCCGCGCCAGGTCCTCCCGGCCCAGGTGCTCACGGACTCCGATCCCCACTAGCTCCAAACTGGTGAGGGCGGGACTCAGAAACAACCCAAGGCGTAAAAACTATCGGGACCCGGCCCGCCCGCTCAGCTCCCGCCCCAAGGCCTCTCGCTGGGCCGACCGGCAAGCTCAAGGCCAACCACACGCCTCCAGCGTTTCCAGAAAATAGGCCTGACTGCGGATGCCGCAGAGGCCCCCGTGCTCCTAGAGCAGGCCCCCAGCGCCCGGCGAGCCGAGATGGCGGCGATGCACCACCGATTCAGCCGTGCCGCCACTGGAGACAAGGCGGAAGCCGCCATATCCACACGTACCATCCTCCTGTCACAATCCCCCGGTAGAGGTCGGCTGACTCACGGCCCCTGATATATAAAGCCCAGCCTGGCTCCGCCCCTTCCGGCGTGCGAGCGCGCGCCCGCGGCGGACGTCGGGTCGGGGGGCGGGGACATGGCGCCCCTTCCACGCACGCCCGTCCCCGCCTAGCGCTAGTTCCCAGCCGGGCGTCAGCTCCGGAGGCGGGAAGGAGAGACTCTACGGCGAGCAGCTGGGTTCAAACTTAGTGAAGAGCCACGAAATGCAGGCAGAGAATTAGAATGCAAGAAACCCACGGCGCTGGGCAGCGGCCAAATTGAATGAAACACGCCGTTGCGCTTAAGGAAGCTGGCTGCGTCGCTTCTCTTCATTTGAAATGCAGTCCCCTCTGGGATTGAATAACCCTGTTGTGGGCTTTCACACGTGGTGTCCCATTTTCATCCCCCACAGTGGATGAGCGTTATTGCCATTTTGCAGGCACGTTGAATTGGAAAGAGTTGCGCCGCTCCCACCTGCTGTAAATTGGAGAGAAAAGACTGAAGCTCTGGTTTCCTGGCTCCCAACCAAGAGGTGCTTCCAGACGCCAACTTGCGTGTAACGCATCTTGATTTCGGGACCGTCCCTCAAGCTCCATCCCGGCCATTCCTCCCGGTATCCAGCTGCTGTGGCCCTGGTGGCTCGCGCTTGGTCCTGAGCGTCTTTGAACCTGGGGTGATACCAGCTCAACACGAGGTTGACATAAGGGAAGCCATATTATAGAGAGGAAGCCATATTATAGAGAGGAAGCCATATTGTAACTTTGAGTGACCTCTGATTAACCCAGCTGGCTATGCACCCTCCAGGAGATACACATGCTCTGTAGATTTTATGGCCCCTGCTTGATGTGCACAGCCCAGCTGCAATAAGATGACAACTTTGTTCTTTTGAGTTCCTTAAGAATGTAATGACCCCTGGACAGAGATTCTGTACTGGTATCCATCATCCAGGGCAGCTGAAAGGTCTGGTGTGGTGACTCCCAGTGTGCAAGCCAGGGGTCAACATTCCTGACCCCCTCCTCTGTAGCCCGCTAGCTGTATATGACTGCTTCAAGATTCTGTACCCATTTAACGTGGTTTTTTAGGACGCTGGTCCACCGTCTTCTGATCAGTTAGCTCATCACTTAATAGAATGCCCTTTGTCTGCCGCCATCTTTTTTTTTTCTTTAAAGATTGGCACCAGAGCTAACATCTGTTGCCAGTCTTTTTTTTTTTCTTCTTCTTCTTCTCCCCAAAGCCCCTCAGTACATAGCTATATATTCTAGTTGCAGGTCCTTCTAGTTGTGGCATGTGGGACGCCACCTCAGCACAGCCTGGTGAGCAGTGCTGGGTCCATGCCCGGGATCCGAACCAGTGAAACCCTCAGCTGCAGAAGCAGAGCACGTGGCCACAGGGCTGGCCCCATTCTCTGCCCCTATCTTGCCTCTTGACAGACTGGCTTTTGTCTTGGCCAAGCAGGTCATGCCCTTTGCACAGTAACAGGGGCGTGGGTCCAGCTGCCCAGCCTCACAGAACCTGGTTCTCCCTGCCTCCCAGACCTTCTGCATGAAGGGCCCTTGCTGATCTCTGCCTGGACTCCCAGTGACCCAGGAGGCTCCTAAGTGCTCTCCCTGCCTCCAGGCTTGCCCCTCCAAATCTTTCTAAGAAAATAATCTCATCTTGTTACTTCCCTCCCCTCCGCCCTCCCCGGCCCCCTGTCGCTTCCTCAGGATTAAGCATTAACTCCTGTGGCTGGCACCCAAGGCCCTGCCCTGACTGGGTACCAGCCTCTTCGCTGCAGGCAAGTGAGCACACACGTTCTGCCCCATATCTCACCCTCCACCTCCATCCCACCCCCTCCTGCTCTTTGATTCTGGGCCTGGCATTGCTCACACCATCTCCCGTTTAATCTTCACACGATTCCTCAGGGGCAGCAGTGATAGGTCCTCAGGCCCTTGTTGGAAACGTTTGGGGCCAGATGTGTTTCCAAATTCAGCATTTTTCAGGTTTTAGATAATATCGTGCAATATGGTGCACATACTGTACATTATGTAATCCTCCCAAAACCCTTTATTGAAACACATTAATTAATTCTGTAAAGAAACATGAATATTCACATGGAGTGGGATAAATATAAATAGCCTCACATCAGTTCAAGGCTGCCTTAGCTGCCTAAAAAATTCAGGTCATTTTGGTTTTTGTCATCAAATCACTTAAGAAGTTTTTTAGCTGGCCCCATGGCTGAGTGGTTAAGTTCACGCGCTCCACTGCAGGCGGCCCAGTGTTTCGTTGGTTCGAGTCCTGGGCGAGGACATGGCACTGCTCATCAAACCACGCTGAGGCAGCATCCCACATGCCACAACTAGAAGGACCCACAACAAAGAATATACAACTATGTACCCGGGGGCTTTGGGGAGAAAAAGGAAAAAAAATAAAATAAAAAGATTTAAAAAAAAAAGAAATTTTTTGATTTCAGAATTGCAGACAAGGGACTATGACCTGTATTGTCCCCTCTTACAGAGAAAACTTAAGTTTTAGGCCAAAAGGAAATAATTTGACAAAAGTCACACGATGAAGGACAGAGCTCAAATCTGACTGACTTTAGGTTGGGTTTTCATGACCTCAGACTCGGGGTTCAGTAACCCCTTTGCTGGAAAAGAAGCTCTGGGATCCTGAGTCACATCCTGAAATTCTTATGGAAGGCCTGCTCTGTGCCAGGTGCTGCACCGGACTGTGGAAAGACGCAGGGGAACAAGATGGCCGTCATCGCAGACCAATTAAGACTATTTAGTATTGTGATGAGGATTAGGAAAGACTTAACAAACAATGTCGCTAGAGGTCCTGGACAAACTGTTCCCCTTAAAAGGAATTCCCTCTTTCCAGGCACAAGGAAGGAGACCATCAAGGGACATGCATAGTCATGCCACTTGTGCATATCGCTCACTGGGATATTGCCTTGGGCCTCAGTTTCCCCATCTGTCAAAAGAGGCATTTGTTCGTTTATTCAACAAATGTGTGCTGAACCGGCTCTGCCTAAGAATGACACCATGGATTGGGAGAGGCCAGCCAGAAGGTGGGGGTAAGGTAGGAGGGTTTTCCCTATTCCATGCTAGCCATCAGCGTGGGTGACCTGGAAGAGGGCGCTAAAGGTGGACATGAGGGAGCAGAATCAGGAGATATGGAGGATGGAGGGATCAGGAGACTGTTTGTACGTGTCGTTGGAGGTGGCTAAGGGGAGAGGAAGCAGGGAGGGCAGGAGTGAGGATGTCCATCTTAGAATATTGGGTAGAGAGTGTGACTTTTAGAAAGGATAAGCCAGCCCGGGTGTCTAGTGGTTAAGATCCGGCGCTCTCACTGCCACGTCCCGGATCCATTTCTCAGGCAGGGAACCACACCACCCCTCTGTCGGTGGTCATACTGTGGCGGCTGCGTGTTGCTGTGATGCTGAAAGCTCTGCTGTTGGGATTTCAAATAGCAGCAGGGTCACTCACGGTGGACAGGTTTCATCGGAGCTTCCAGACTAAGGCAGACTAGCAAGAAGGACTTGGCCACCCACTTCCAAAAAATTGGCCATGGAAATCCTACAAACAGCAGTGGAGCGTTGCCTGATAAAGCACTGGAAGGCAAGAAGATGGTGCAAAAAGGCTGAGCGGGGTTCCGCTCTGCTGTCCACAGGGCCCCTAGGAGTCGGAATCAGCTCCATGGCAGTAACAACATGACTAATTTATATATGTAGGTGTGGATTCAGTCAGGGGTTAACTGTATTCTTTTTCCTTTCAAGAACACATCTAAGGCTACATACCAAGATGTATGCAACTCAAGAAGAAAGAAGTAAGGAAGTGAGGGAAGGGAAATAAAATGAAGTCAGAGAGGGATCATAGCCAAAACACACATTACAGAACTCTGTTTATGCCAGAATAGTCCTCCCATTTCGGTCCAAGCCTCTGTGCAGCCAAATAAAGATAAATGTGATTAGCAACACAATTCATAATACCCACATGATCAAAACAAACCAGTGGCCAGAAGGAGTCCACTGTGCCTGAAATAAGGCTTGAAAGAAATTTCTCTGGGGAGACAGGGTTCTCCTAAAGGGGCCGAAATAGGATGCAGCCGATGACGCCCTGACATCATCGCACAGTGGACGCGCAATGGCTGTGCACGCTCCGTGCACACCACTGAACTCCTGGCAACACACCGATCTGATCTGTGAGAGCTGTTTACAAGAAGCCCAAACAAGGAGTTTGGGTTACCTGATCTGAGACTGTTGGTTTAATCCAAAGATAAAATCCAACGTCTGGAAAGAAATGGATTGATTTTATTCACAAGTCGTCCTTCCTCAATACTGTATTTCAAAATAGAACTTTTACCAAGGAACAGAAAAGGGTCCAAAGTTTTGCTCAAATACCCAAAGGGCAGGTATTCTCTGCTGCCACGTAAAACCCGAGGTGCGGTCACCACGGTGGAAGATGGGGAGGACCCGAGGAGGAGCAGATGTG